TTATAGGCAATAAAATAAATAATGAAAGTGAAATAGATGAGTTGAATGATCATACAGATTTTTCTCAGCCTGACCGTGCAATAGTATTAAAATAGTATTAAAATATTCACATACTTATAATAGTACTCTGTAGTAGAATTGGGCTTTGATGCTGCTGTACTTTGTGCTTTTCAAATTTCTCAAAAGCAAGTGAGTGTTTTCTAGATAATCAAATAGCACCTGTTGTTCAAATTTTCATTTACTAATAGTATCATAATGGAAATACCAATTGTTAACTTAAAACAAGATTTACTGTGAGTACACAGTGTCTGACTATATGGCTTCTTAGCCCTTTTTCTGGTCTTGAAAGCTCTTAACCACCGTATCTTTTATCTGGCATTTTCTCAGGAGTCCCTTTCTCAAGAAGCTTGTCAATTCCCTATACTGGTGATAGTGTGAGAATCAAATTGAGTGGTGGGAGAGGGTGCTCTGTATATTTTTTTCTCTCATTCAGGCCTTCTTTTGCCTCCTTTGCTCAGAAAAGAGCCACTTGCTGGCCATATCAATGAATAGTAAGTTTGAAAACAGCAGTTTAACCTCTAGGTCAGAGATTTTAAAAGTGTATTTTTGACCTAAAGGTTCATAGCCAAATCAAAGTGATGTAGTAAGCTCCCATCACATTTACAAACCTAATTTTTAGACAATCATTCAGCTATCTTCTTTTCTGAATGAGATTGATAAAGATACACAGGAAACTTAGAATGTTATCCTGCAGCTTTTTCTTTGAAATGGTGTGAAGATTTCAGTTACTTCATGGAAACAGTAGTTAATGTTTAATTTAACTAGCAATTTCATTGGAAAGCATGTGGTTTGAAAAATATTTTGAAGTTCTCCAATGAAAAAGCATTTCAAAAGTGTAAGTATGATGTCATCGTATATATCAATTGTATTTAATGTTTCATTAGACCTCTCATTTTTTGCAGACACATATGATAAAATTGAATCCCAGTGACCAGTCCTTAAAATTATCACCAATCCAAAAACAAAAGGTACTGTAACTAATTATCCATATATATACTCATGCTGCTGTTTAAAAGGTCTATAATTCTTGTATTGTCCTTATTATTTATTGTTTTGCTATGAGTTTTTAAAAAGCTAAGCAAATTTTATAGACCCTCTCTTGTTCATATTCTCAATATTGATCGATGAGGTAAAACTCTACATAGCTGACTGAATTCAGAGAGAATTTGGGTGGAGTCCTAGAACTCTACACGTCCAGCATAGTTTGAGATGAGAGTGTACAACGCTACTCCAGTTTAAGGAACAGGAGACTACAGCATACAATCTGAAATTTATTGTGGTAACAATATAGTTCTACTGTTTTGCTGATACGAAAATATTTTAATTGGCTCTTGGGACATAATGTAATTAAAGGTTTTGTTTACCTTTATTTATCTATTTATTTACCTATGTGTATTTACCTTTATGTATGTGCCTTCTATTCTATTCCATTCTATTTCACTCCTAACATGATACCCGCATTCCAGTGTTCTGGTATATTTCATTATCGTCGCATTTTGTAGTTAAAAAATGATTCTGCTGAATTTACTCAATAAGTGTAAAATTTAAAGCAGAAAGACAACAATTTTTATGCTTATTGTAAAAACATAACACTGAGTGCATCAGAAGAAGATTTCCCTAGGGAAAAGATGGAGGAAGGTTTAAGAGAGCCAAAGCTCTTTCCTTCTGTTAGCACTGCCTCACACATTGCATATGCTGTAGCTTATAGGATATGATAGTGGTTGCATAGTTCTTCTCCCGTTCACATTAAGTGCTTGGACTGTGAAAAACCTTTCCTATCAACAGAATTTTCATTTTTCTAATACATGCACTTTTAACAACTCATTTTCATTCCACCTTTTGTGCCACCTTTTAGTTCCATCACAGAAATTGTTTCTTTTCTTGTTCAGATGTTTGTATAGTCTTTTTCTTTTGCTGTCATTTATGCTGTCCTTAATGTTTTCCTTCTTTCTTTTTAATTTTCTGCTTCTCATGTGGAATAGAAGAACAATAAAAATGTGAAACTGAAAAGAGATGGTAAGGGTGGGATGCAAAACATAGATTCTAATTTTGTGCAGAAGGGCTCAAAATTAGACTCTAATTCTTTACAAAAGCAGTCTTCACTTTCAGAGTCACTGGGACAGTATGTAGACTTAGAAAAAAGTAGTGCCTTTGTAGGGAAGCCTGTGGCTGATAAAAAAAACGTGACAGGTAGATATGAGCATGCACGAAGCGTTGGTACTTTGAAAAGTGATTTTCAACAAATTGTTAGGGACAAATGCAAACTAGTGAAAAGGAAAAAAGAATATTCAGAAAATCCTGAATCTGTTGGACAGGAAATAGCTTATGATCTTTCCAGTGAAAAGCAAATTCTAACAGAAAAAACAAGTTCTTCCAATAAAAAGTCAAAAGTTGTTAAATCTAAGCAATCCCTTAAAAAAGATATACTTCCTTCTGCATGCAGTGATCAACCCCACACTGGTTCACTAGTTGTACAGAAATACAATCTTGTTAAAAAGCAAGGAAGTAAAGAAGCAGTAGAATGGGAAAACAAAACAAAGAATGGAATTGAAAAAGCTGATAAATATGAAAGAATACTTGTCAGAGAGGAAGAAAGTAATGAAGAACAGAGGGAGTTTAAAAAAAAGGATCGATTTTTGAAACAAATAGCTGTAACTATGTCATCATCTTCAAGTGAGGAAAGTAGTAATGAACTTGCAAAATTCATGCTTAAGAATAGGGGAAAAAAAGGAGACTACTATGAAGACGAAGATACCCAGAAGGCAACAAAAGAGGTGGAAAATGTGAAAGATTTGGACGTACAAGAAGAAGATAGCGAGACTGAAGAGAAACAAGCAAATAATGAAAAAGAATATGTAGAAGAGACTGATATAAAAAGTCTGAATGAGGAAGAAACAAATTCTGAAGCTACATCTGATGAAAGCAGACAGTTAGAAGTTCAGAATGAAGAGGAATCTAATCAAGAGCAGGAGAGTGAAGACAGTGAAAAGGCTGAAAGTGAAAAAGAAAAACTGGATGAAAAAGTTGACAGTGAAGTTGAACTAAGGGAGGAAGAAGAAGAGAGTGAGGCTGAAAAAGATAGAGACAGAAATATTTCAGTAGAAAGAGCTGAAGTTGAAAAGGAAAAAGATAGTGAGGAAGAAAATGAAAGAGATGAATCGCAGATTGAAGGAGACAGTGAAAATGAGGGTGCAGAAGAGGCTGAAGAGAATCATCAAGAAGGATATGGCAAGGAGCAAGAAGATGAGGAAGGCAGATTCACAGAGGAAGAAGAAATGCTGAGTGAGGAAGAAGAGGATATTGAGGAGGAGGAGCATGCAGAAGAGGAACAAATGGAAAAAGAAAAGGACGAACAGGTTAAAAGTGAAGGAAGGGACGAGAGTGAGGAAGGAGGAGTAGGCAGAGAGAAGGAGAAAGAAAAAGATGTAGAGGCAGAGCAGGAGGGAGAAGATGAGCAAGAAAATGAAGAAGAAAGGGAAGAAAGGGAGGATGAAAGAGATGAAGATGAAGAGGAAGAGTTAGAGAAAGTGTTGGCAGGGAGGGAAGAAGAAGACGTATCAGGAGAACAGGAGGAGGAAGATGTGAATGAAATGAAAGAGGAGGTGCAGAAGGATGGAATGGAAGAGGAAGGAGAGGAAGATGGGGAGAATGAAGTGGAAGAGCAAGGAGAAGAAGAGGAGGAAGAGGAAGGAATAGAGGTAGAAACAGAAGGGGAGGAGGGGGAAGGAGAAGAAAACAAGGGTGAAGAAAAGGGGGAAAAGGAAGGAGAAGAGGAAGAAGATGGAGAAGAGGCGGAAGAAGAGGGAGAAGGGGAAGAAGCAGAAGGAGAAGAGGAAATGGAGGAAGAAGGTGAAGAGGGAGAGGAGGAGGAAGAAGAGGAGGAGGGAGAGGAGGAGGAAGAAGGGGAGGAGGGAAAGGAGGAGGAAGAAGGGGAGGAGGGAGAGGAGGAAGGAGAAAGGGAAGAGGGAGAAGAGGAAGAAGAGCAAGAGGGGGAGGAGGAGGAAGAAGAGGAAGAGGGAGAAGAAGAAGAAAAAGAAGAAGAAGAAGAGCAGGAAAAAGAAGAGGAGGAAGAAGAGGAAGAAGAAGAAGTGGAGGAGGAGGAGAAAACAAAACACAAAAAAAAGATTGATAGTAATAACCTTCCACAGAAGAAAAGCAAAAACAGCAGGAAGCCAGACAAGACAGAAAGTACTGCTATGCCAAACAGCTCTAAACAAAAAATGAAGTCCAAACACTGTGTAGCAAATGGATTACATAATTCAGAACAATTTTGGAACAATGTACTACCTCATTATTTAACACTGAAGTAGCATGTGGACTACTAGAGATGCATTTTAAGCCTATTCAGGGTGCTTTAAAACTATTTTAGATTGATTTTTATTACTTTAAAAATTATTTTTAAAAGTCGTCAAAATGTATTATTATGCACATACTTTAAGTGCCAATTCCTTGAAAGAGAATGGAGAAAATATTTAGATTTAGGAAACTTTTATGAGACAAAAATGATATAAACTATTGATACAGTCATCTTTATCATATACAACACTGTTGCAGATTTAAAAATAATTGCTGAGGAGGCAAAACATGTTTGCCTCTAAATTATGATTTCACACTAACAACATAAACTATGCATTGTAGCAGTGTAATCTTCTCTGCCTTTTAATCAGGTTTCTTAAGGTAATACTTCAGTTTTAGTTACAGGATAGCTAACTTGTCAATGTGCCTCATATGAAATGAATATCAGTAAATCATGAAAACTACATATTTTTAATATTTGGCACCAGTCCATATTCTTCCCCTCCTCTTTTCCACTGTTCATATATAGGTAAGATGTTGTTTGAGCACTCAGTGTAAACTAAAGAAAGGACAGGATGCCAAACGTACATGGGTCAGTAGATGGAAGGTAAATGCAAATATAGGCATTGGTAAATGGAGGTTTGAGTTTTTTCAAATTTCTTAAGGTCGACTTCTTATTTTAGTGTCAAAACACAATAATTACATGCAAAAAAGATGAACATCGTGTCTCAGAATCTGGCCTAGATTGCATTATAGTCAGAATGCATCCATTTAGTGATAATTTTTTACTGTCACATTTGGTGCTTAGACATAATTTAAGAGCTTAAAATATACACCTGTAAAACATTATTTACTTGTATATACTCTGCAATACAGAAGAGATTCACCATCGACCCATGAAAGTCTGTTACATGCATCTTTCTTTAGTCATCTTTCTCTAAGACTACCAGAAGGGGACTATATTTTGTTGTGGTGTGAAGTTTATATGTGTCTTCAAGATCAAAGCCTAAGCTTCTCCTCATGGGAGGAGATTGGTGTCTTTCCTTTCTAAAAGTCACAGGAGTGATCTCCAGAAAGAAGATAATGTAGTAAACCAAGAAGCTAGATGGAATAGAAGAGAAACTAACTTGAAATTCTAAACTCTTTTTGAGAAAGAGTATGTTAATGTTTCTGTTTCCTTAAAATATATAAAAAGAACTTATTTTCTTAATAGCAACAAATCTTGCAAATTGTTTTTAATATGATTTTGTGACTTGTAAAGATATTGCTTTACTGCTATAGTGGTTGAACTGGTAAAAGAAGGAATATGGGCTCTTCTGTCATTCAGTATTTTTATTTTAATACTGTGCTGATGGGTGTTCTAAGAAAATTTCTTAAGCAGATCTCAGCATCAGCATTCTCTGGAAAAATAATTATTTAAATCGTATTTGAAAATGAGGACAAGAGAAGAAAGAAATCAAAATGAGCAAATGCCACTCAATAAAAACGTTAATAGATCAAAACTTAAGCTGAGATTATGAATCATTTTGAATGTTGTTTTGTAAGATACTGACATTAAAATATCTTTGGCACAATGTCTCCAGAATTTATTTTCTAAAAAGGCTACAGTAGATCAGTAGTTTACCAGTAGATTCTAGTGCAACTCAACCCTTTCTCAGTCACCCCTTCTGTTCACCACATTTGAAAGGTAAGATCACTTTCAGTTAGCATAATTTTAACAAATTTAGTTAGTCTAGTGACTAGTATTTTGTCCCTTTAAAATTAATTTCAGGCTTTGGATTTTTCTGGAACACATTATCTTGACATCAGCGTGTGTAAATCTTTGGAAAACGGTAAGTATGCTGATATTCTGAGAGTGTGGAATATTTTAACAGTTAAATGCACTTCCTGAGAAAACAGCTCTCTCTATTAATGGAGTCCCCATTTGTTTTGCAGAAGTACTGCTTTATGACAGAACTGCTATAACAATAGTTGCTTCTGAAACCAAGTGCAGCTAAGGTGTCTTTATGTTTCTTAGGAAAGATTAGGATGGTACTGTGATTAAACTTAGAGTAATTTTGAAGGGGATTTTTGTAGGCCTGAAACTGTGTTTCTTGGATATAACATCTTATTTGTGATTCTTTTCAGTCTTAGAAGAAAACTGTGCTGTAATTCTAATACAAAAAAAATCTATTATGTCTTATAAAAATATCTGAAAGATAGGAAAGGAAAAAGTGAAAGCACTTTGGAAGCCAGTGATCACAGGTTGCACATAGGAATGCCTCTTAATTTACTGCTTGACTGTAGCTTTTAATCTAAAACCTTAGGTAAATGGGAACCATTTGTTGTTTCTGTCGTACCTTGCACCGATAGCATAAAGCTTCCTAAGGCTTCCCAGGAGAGTAGTGAAGATAAGTTACAGGCATCTCCTTTTCCTTATTCTGTCTGGATAAGCATTCATTAAAGTGAGAACTGATTTTATTTTGCTTTGTGAATGATTCCTGTGGCAGGGGAAAAGCAGAGCATTGATGCAGCACTTCTAAAGGTTTTGCACAGTGTTGTTACATAAATTGTATACTGTGCCAATGTTTCTGGCATTTGGGGGAACTTTGGAACTCAATTAGCATAACTAGAGTGAAATTTTGAGTTTGACTCATATTGGTTTATAAAGTTAGGTACTTGTGGTTTTATGGAAATTGAGAATGGACTTGACATTTATTATGCGATACAAAAAGATTTATGTGCAGTACTTAAGCAACATGGCAGAAGTAATCTTGAAGTGATTTTTAGTCGAGAAAAAAATCCAGCAATGGGGCAAGAAAACAACAGATGTAGTGTTCAGATCAAACATCTATCTGGACCAATATCTTGTTTCTACCAGTGGCTACTACTGAATGCCTAGCAAAAAAAAAAACAAGAATAGAGCAATCCTGTAGCAATACTTCTTCTATGCAGTTTCTCAGCCTTCAATAATACGTGGCTCAGAAGATGTATCTGTTGTATCAATAATCATTTTTCTCCAATGAACTTCTTTCAATCACTTTTTGAACCCACAGAAGTGTTTAGTGTCCAAAACATATTTTGGCAAACAGTCTTAGATTACCTTACATCTTGTATAAAGAAGTAACTTTTTTTTTATCTTAAATCTATCCTTTGTTAGTTTCATTTGATGCCTCCATGTTCTGGTATTAGAAGAGGAAAAGAACTTGATTATCCCAGGGAACAACCGCTCAACTCACGTGGTTTAAATCAAATCAGGGTTGAACTGGTTTATTGATTTATTAAGAACAGTTAACTAGGATTCAGTGAGCTACACATTCAAGAGCAATATTGGCAATACAGCAGGTAACAACAATACTAGAAGCTTACACAATGTTAATGAACACCTACAGATGTCTGAACACCCTTCCACAGCTGATCCCAGAAGTTCTAATCCTGCATCACACACTCCCGCACTCTCACACACACTTGCACATAATTACATATACACAGACCCTTTCTCATAGGAAGCATGAGTTACAAGCACAAACCCCATCTTCTGGGGTGCGGGTCTGTTTTTTGCACACACCTCCTGTGAGAGAGGAGGGTGCTCCAGGTTTATGTATACCTAGGCTGCTTCCTTTAATCTGCTAATCCACATGCTGTTGAAAAAGCACTCCATAACTTCATGAACCCAAACACAAGGTGCAGGTCCCTTACTTGTTGTACCTTGTACTGTTAGTTCACTGATTGAAACACAGGCGTCGGGCTGGGAGACTGCTCTGTCAAGCCGAGATGGAAGTGACAATGCCAGCAGGGCAACTTCTAGCAGTCTCAAACCCAGATTTGACTGCTGCCCTTTTCCCACTTCTCCCCACCACTGTGACAAATTTTCATGCTTTTATACTTCTTTTCAGGCTAATTCCTTGATTTAGCATACTTTGTCATTGGTAGTTTCCTTTTTAGCTTTCTTGATTTGAGGGCAAAAGACCTCCAAAGTTTTGGTGTTCAACTTGCGCACACTATTTACACTCACAATCCTGTCTGACCAGCTGTTGTTATCCAGGCCACATTACCAAGGGGCAAAGTGTGCCATGCGGATTTCCCCACAGTGATTTTATAGACCTCTATGTTCCCACGTTCCATTTTTTTATTGCCAAAGATTTGTCAGACAAGTCTGTTCCCAAATTCCAATAATCCTTGAGGCCCTTCTTACAACAGCCTTTTTCAGATGGGCGATCAGAAGTTGGTTAGTATTCCAAAGGCAGGTGCATCATGGATTTATACAGCAGCATAGTGACATTGTATATTTTGTTTTCTTATTCCTTCCTTAATAATTTTCTGTTCACTTACTTGACCCCTACTGATCATTGCACCATAGAACTCTGAGCTGTAATGTCAAGATACTGTTTTACAATGGTACTAACACTTCAAAGTCCCCCGCTGTGTGTCTGAAGTAAGGGTTGTGGGTTATTTTATGTTTATCCACACTGAATTTTATCACCCAGTCACTTTATGTAATGAAATCCCTCTGCAACATAATCAGCTATAGTCTTTACCACCTTGAATAACAGCAAGCCCTGAGACATTATTGTTCTCTTCTTTTCCAGATTACTTTAGAATACATTGAATAGGATAACTCTTCTCTCATACTTGCAAAATTTCAGCAGTTAATGTTTGTCATCTTGTTATCTGAAAATATCAACTTATTTATTGAGATAATAGTTCTCTTTGCATAAAGGAAGATGTATAACAAAAACGTCTTTCTCCAAACTACAGAAAATGTCTGGGTTTGATTTGGTATTTTTTCCTTCTGCTTTCTTATCTGGGTAGGCACATTTTTATTCTTTGAAAGGGAGCCTCTAGGAATCCTGTCTGATCTTAACTCTTGGAATAGCAAACAGTATTTTATTTTTGTTAATTGAGTTTGTGGTGTGAATCTAGTCATTCAACAAAAACATTGTCAAATACTCTTTTTAATACAGAAGGGAGATTAAAGGCAGAGTGTCTTATTAATGCAATCTGATTTTTTCTTAGTGCATTTTATATGGGCAAGTCCCCTAGATACTCTTCCCTATTGTAAAGAAACTAAGGTGTATACTACGATACTAAGGTCCATGCTCCAATCTTTTTCTGGTTTTGTTTTACTGAGAAGTCCATAAGCTTCTGCCTACTCTTAAAGTATCAGACAACTTCTCCGTAAGTAGCATTTCAATGAAAGATGTCAAAGCTTCTATTAAAGATAAACTGTATTAGACTTTGGCCAGTCGTTGATGCAATCACTTAAATTTGCACTCGTGCGTTGTTTTTGTTGAGGCCTAATGATGTTGGGCTCCTAACTTCCATTGAAATCTTACAAAATTTTCAGTCTCTATAGCTTTATCTGTGAAATGGGAGCTTTAAGAGTCATGCTGCTATGGGAAATCTCAGAAATACTGTGGTTATATGAACTAGAAGAAGGTGTGATGAAGTGCTAGTTTGGGCACATTTGAAAATTGCCAGGAATCTTAGTTCTTCTGTTTCAGCGGAGCGTCAGCTCTACTGGCTAGCCTTAGCCGTTAGTAGTCCATATGGTCATTATATGGACCTGGTCATTATAAATCTCTTTCCCCCTACTAATTCACAGTACATATATGAAGATACTGAGATAAAATGAAATACACAATATCAATACAATATATAAGGCTGGATTTGTGAACTGTGAGCTCACCTGAACTTCTGTGTATTATCTTTAGTTTTAAAATGAGTCTTATGGTAAAATATCCTGATATTTGTTACCACAAGAAATGCAGCATAGATTTTATTCATCATCTACTGAAGTCAGTAGCAACATTTGCATTGATCTCATTGTTTGCAGAATCAAGCTCAAAAATAAGAAAATCTGACAAAAGAATATGATCAGATCTGTAAACTGCAATACACTACATAGTAGCTGGCATAAAAGAGCAAATTCTCAGCTCATTTCTAAATGTGCAGTGCAAATATATGGCATTATTTAATACTGCAGCATTCTATGAGCAACTGAGCCGATATTTTGCTTGCAGAACTGGCAAATGCACAGTTTTGTCCTCAGTTAAGTTCGGAGTGTGTTCTTGATCTGAAGTCACTTACAGAGCTTCTAATACATTTATGCACTTTTTCATATGTTTTAATGGACAGAGGGAAAGATTTACATTTGCATATTGAAAAGATTTTGGTGAGATATCTTTTGCTTCAGAAAATTGCACTTCTGAGAGCTACAGAGTCTTTATTTTTCTATTGCAAAAATATAAAACAAGTACACTTAATCACTGTCTTTTTTAAGGATTTGTGATAGTTCCCATTACTTCTTTGCTTGGCAACCTCATGCTAATTTAAATAAATATTAATAGAATTATTTCAAAGTAAAACTCAGAAACACACACTTATTATACTTACTAACATTTTTACTGTTGGGGTCCTGAATTGTCAAGTATACTGAGATTTACCGTTCTGGCTTTGATAAATGTCCCAACATTGGACCAGTCATGACAGACATGCCAGACCTGACTCTTTGCTCTTTCTGTTATTGCATGATAGGTGGATTGCAGGGCAATCTGCTGGAATGTCGCAAGTTTAATGTTCCAGATTCAGACCTTTATAATTTGTAACGAATACCCTGCTTTTCACCAGAATTGCATATGTAGTTTGTGTGAAATGTAAAATATTTGTGGTTCCATATTGAGAGTGTGGCTGATAGCTGTAGGT